GACAATTCGAGAGAACTTTGAGTTCTAAGCATGTTGTAGCACAAGATAATTAGTGTGCGGACCATTTTCAATTATATAGTACTCTGTGAACACAAATTAGTTAGCATAAATCAGTTAAATGACGAAAAATTAGGTGTCTATTTACTTGTGACCACTCAGTGTATATGAAATGGTATGTACAGAAAATTTATTAACATATTTTTATTTTTTTATTAAATCTCTGAACTGTGTTTCTAAGCTTCTATTTGGGAACTAGCTAAAAGCCCAATTAAAAGTTGAGCCAGTTTCATTATACATTAACCTTTTTTTTTTATAATAGCTATGAATTCATAAGTCTTGGTCACATTTGTAATGTCATTTATTTATATGAGAACTATATGTGATCATTATAATATTTTAAACCTTAGGCAACGTCCCACAGTAAAATGAATAATTATAGTTAGCATCAAAATTTTCTAATAGTGACACTGATATACTATATGAACATACATAATTATATATATATTTATAGCACAGAATTTGTATTTTCATGTTCAGTAGACTAATAAATGTGTAATTCAACCTTAACTAACCTTAATTTTTCTTTTCTTACAGCAAGGAGTAATTGACTTTAGTCTCTATCTTCGAGAAAATAGCCATACTGAACCTCTTCCTGAAGGGTAAGTTTCCTACTTATTATTTCTTTATCTGGTCTTCAGTTTTTATTCTGTGTCACTACTGTGGAATACTTTGAAAACAACTTTTCAATAAACATTTTTATCAGTCATCTGGTAGAAAAAATGGTGTATACAAAGACATTAAATTTTTACAAATCAAATAAAGATTTTAGTACAAATTAATGAAAAGACAGACTACTGCATTAACTGACAGACTTGTTTCTGGCTTGAAAATGAGTGTTTGCTTGAAACATTGGCAAGAAAATAAAATAGAAACATAGTTTTTAAGGTGATTTATCTCAAAAGACAAATTTCTTTATTTTATTACATTTGCATTTTTCTACTTATTCAATGTATGCATAGTTATCCTCTGTAGAATTTTATGAAAATAAGGCTTGTCCTACTTACAATTTCTTTGTTTTAAGTTGCTCAGCTCAAGACACACTAATAATTCCACCACACAGATTATAAATCACTCAGCAAACATTTAGCTCATGCTACCCTCTCAAATATGTAATGCTCTAGCTGCTTGCAAATATACCTTGTAAAAAGTTTTTATTATTTTTATCTTTTATATCTAAGGTTACTTATTCTAATGTTGTATAACTTAATAGTTTTCTAGTATTTACATTTTAGTTGCTTTTATATAACATCAAGCATACAAATAAGAACATATTTATTTTGTAAATTTTATGATATCATTTTCATTACATTTACTGTGTTATGTCATTGTCCACACATACAGAACCATTTCTTTGATACACATTATGTATCATGTTGTACACAAATTCTAATCTTTTTTATAGTTTTATTCTTTATAAGACTGTTATAACATATTAAATATAGGTGAACAGTGTTGTTTTGTTTAACTAACAAACAAAATTGACTTGAAACATGAAAAAGATTATTTGAATTAAAATTTGTTGAATTTCAGTATGAAAATTTAATAATATAAAACAAATTATTTTAATTTTAAGCTATTATTATTAATGAACCCTTGTTGACATTTTCTGATTGCCCTTTGACTAGTGTGTGTGTGTGTGTGTGTATATATATATATTATATATATATGTGTGTGTGTGTGTTTGTGTGTTTGAAACTGTCCACCATGTCCATGTTTATCTTTTGAATTTGTGAAAGTTATTTATTTTCAACATTTATTTATATTCCATTCACGATGAATGTGTTTAACATTAGAATTTTCCAAGATAAAGAGTGTTGTGCAGCTACAGGTTAATACAGGGCTTTTAGAGAGCAGGACATTGAAAGATGATAGGTGTTGTTTAATCAAATTTAAGGATGGGAAATTTCAGTTTAAAATGATGTCATCATCTGTGAATGTATGTAAACTTGAACTTCTTAATCTAATCTGTAGTGCAAAACACCAGCAAACAAGAATATCTATGTTGCTGATCAAGTTTTCTTTGTGATATCTCAATATATATATTCAGTTTTACCACAGTAAATCATCATTGTTGAGTATAAGTAAATCTATTGTAGCCATATTTGTTTGTTATGAATGGTAAAATGATACAGAAGTAGGACAAGTTTTGATATGATGAAGTTTCATGATGTGAAACACGACAACTGATAGGTAACAAATTATTGTGAAACATGACTACTACTTAATATTAATGGAATTTTTAACAGACGTTTTTTTTCAGTATTGCATGAACCTGTGACTCTGTCCACTAGTTATATTTAACTACATGTTTGTTTTATTATATTTCTGTTTAGTGTGTTGCATGTAATTTTATTCACAATTTGTAGTTTACTCAGAATTGAAAATTATTTGTTTATCATAATTAGTTTTCTTCTAGGGCCAACTCTGCAAGTATGACAGCTGTTTTGGACCAGAAAAATTATATAGAGGAGCTTAATAGACATCTCAAGTAAGCAATGGGAAAAATATAACAGTCTTCTCTACATTATTTTTTGTATTGCTTAATGTAAATTACCCATTTTTCTTTCTAGAGTGATCACAAATTTGAACAGGAAATTACATTTGTTTATCATAAGTATGGTAGTACTTATAATAGGAATGGGCCAGATGTGCAATATGAATTAGCATCCCAAACACACTGCAAACAAACTTCATAAGCACTTTACACACACTGTTGAGTAGTAAACAGACCAACTGCAGAGTAATAAACTGCCAAAGCACTTGAGAAAGTCAGTAGGATAAAAACAAAAATTTCATAAAACCACAAATTTGTCAATCTGACTGACTAATGTTGTTTGGAAAGGCATAACTCTCTCCTACCTTCACCTTATGCAAATCTAAATGTGCATTCCTAGCTTGTTTCATTTTTGGTGCTCCCATTCCTACTTCCTTATTTTGTTAGTTAAAATTTTTTTACACTTGTCCTAAATCATTTGAAGCTTGTAATGGGTATACACCTGTTTCTACTTACATTTTATTGTTCTATTGTCCTTTGAACTGTGTCTAACTAATAATTCTACCACACACAAATTATAAATCACTCAGCAAATGTTTAGCTCATGTTACCCTCTCAAATATGTAATGCTCTAGCTGCTTGCAAATATACCTTGTAAAAAGTTATTATTATTATTATCTTTTATATCTAAGGTTACTTATTCTAACCTTATATAACTTAATAATTTTCTAGTATTTACATTTTAGTTGCTTTTATAATAATTAATAAAGAATACACATGAGTAACAAGAACTTTACTACTTACCTTGATCTTCTTTTTTATGGTGTAAGCTGTCAATAAACTTAACCCTACTTTTTTGTACTAATGGAATTACTACACTAAATTATTATTTTTTAATTAAATAATGCACCTAAGAACACAAATAATAAAAGTTAAAAGCAGACAATCTCCTATAACTATCATCATTTTTCTGGCTTTCCAACTATGTGATGAGAGCCTTTAAAAATTCAGTTAAGCTCAACAATGTGTTTCCTGTAGAAATAAAGTTTAAACTGTTATCAAAATAGACAATTCTTTGTAGAGGAAACAACGTAATATAATATCATTTGATGGATAAAAAATTTGGCTTTCTGTTCATTATAAGTAATATAGTATATCAGACGGAATTATTGACAATTTGTGAAAGAGAGGATGCAACAGGTGGGTGTGGTAAATGGATCTAATTTTCTAGTTTATGGCTCTATAAACAAATAAGATAGAAGTCTATAAAAATCCTGCTTCACCTGAGTGATAACAATATTATAATGACGAATTTACATTAAATTCTGTACTTCTCGGAGGGGTGGTAAATAAATTAGAGAAAATAAAATACCTAGAGAACAAATTTACAATTTTTTACTGGGGGAGATTGAAGATTTTTAAAAAATATTTACTTGTAAACAGAACTTTTAAAACTTATAAAATATTAAAATTTGATTCATTAACTATGTTTTGATACCAAGTTTATTTATATAGCATGATAATAAAGTACTTTAATTAAATTTTGAACTTAAATCTCTAAAAAGTCATGACATATGCACTTTGACCTGCCCTCTAGCGAGAGAGGTAAGTAATTCAAATAAATTGTTAAATATTTTATTTAATAGAACACATAGGTCAAAAATGTATGTGTTGTAGCTTATACATATTTGTATGTAATTAATAGTTTTTAAGAAATTATTTAATTCAAACTATTGCTTATATTGTTTAGAAGAATGGCTTATACCCTGTCTGTTCTTTCAATTTTGCTTTTTGAGGACTTTCTGCTTGAGCTTTTATGTCATATGAAATTATTTATAAAAATAGTCAGAACAGGATGTGAAACATTTTGGAAGAGAAAGTATTTTTATTTTCAACCCATTTTCAACTAAAGATGTAGACAACAATCTCTTTGAATGAATTTCATCAACTAACCAAAATAAAAAAAATATATGGTAAAACTTTGTAAGCATGAAATATATTACTATATTAAGTTTAGCATCATAAAGTGGTTTGAGGTAGATAGTTTTCTATAAGATAAATTGACATCCAGTCAAATGATAAAGATACTGAGTGTAAAGTTGTTGATTATGATATATACCATAAAGAGTTAATGAAATAACATCAAGATGTGGAAATGGTTAAACTGTGCAGTTTTCTAGTGGTGTTAAGTTATTTTGAATGTAACGTACATGTTCTTTTAATCTATTCAAATTATCACAGAGACTTGTGTGAATTTTAAATTATTTGCCACAAACACATGCAATACTTCTGCCATGAACCTTATACAGCTTCAGTTTGCCCCCCCATCCCTTTTTTTTTTTTTTTCAAAAATAAGTGAGGGGCCTTTTTTATATGTGCCTAAATTTATTTAATAATCTAAAACTGTCTTTATTCTTAAACATGATTACACAGGCCTGTGAATTTAAACTGTATGAAAGTTGTTTTGATTTTAATAATGGATTTTCCATAATTCAGCTATGCAGATTTTGAAAATAATATTCATTTTTTTTCTATCATGTAAGGATTTTTTTTAAATGGGGAAGAAAAATAAACTCTTACTTATATCAAATTATTATTTCATTTACCACAATGAATATTTTTATTATTATAATACAAAAAACTGAAGAAAATTATTTTTCTTGTAAAATCTACATCTTTTAGTCTAAAAACTATGTGTTGTGGCCTTTCTTTTATGTATTGTGCTATGATGTTTTATGAAAAATCTTTATGTGATGGAAAAAAATGGATATTTTCAGATTCAGTGTACAGGAATTACTGTAGAACATGTAAAAATTTCAAGACAATAAAACCATCACAGGCCTGTGTAATTAGTGTAAATCCAGCCTTTGATCCCAAAATTGTTTGGTACTAACTAACAGTTCTATTATATCTAGAAAAATAATCTGACTATTATTTCTGGACCTTTTAACACTGAGTGCAGATAGGTGAAAGTATACATGTCAAGAACCTTTTACAGGGATACATTCAAAACTTAAGCTACTTTATTGTCAATATATGTAAGTAAACTTGACATCTAAGTTTTGATTTCAAAAGGATATATTTATATAAATTGTTAATCTTCACTTTTCTGTATCATGTGACACTCCTTAGCTCCAAATTGCCCATTTTAGATAATCTTGCTTCCTCTATATGATCTTCCAAATGTAACAAAAATTACACATGTACAGTATGGATATTGCTAAGACATAATGCAAACTTATAGCATCCAGTCTTCTTGCTTTACTAAAATATAAACTAGAAAAACAAACCCATGCCATGCACTTTTGTCACAGTTTAATTTACTAGAGTCTCTATAAGGCTAGCTCTTTATGATTACAGTTTTTCAATTATGCTTATTACTGTTTCATTATTTTCCATTGCTGAGATCACTTCAACCAGCCCATAGAATTATTTTAACCTACTTATATCTTAGTTAGAAATCCAGTTAAATTATAATAGTTATAGAACATCATATTCTATCTGCATGTTAATGTTTTCTGTTCCAAGTTGTATATATGAAACAAATAAAATTAAGTAAAGTACTACAAACACTCTTACCAAAAAGTAGGGTTAACAGTGTCAATACTTTGAGAGCAAGAAAAGTACAAGACTCACACATAAGTACTATATTTCTTATTTTTTATGTATATTTTTTATTCATTGTTATGAAAGTAAATGAAATATGAAAATTTGAAAGTTATTTTGGTATATAAGAAAAATTAAATATAAAATACTCAGTAGCACATGCACACATGATCATCCACAGAAATTTCTCTTTGGGGGGGGGGGGGCAAAGCCTGAATCAAGGGTATATATAAAGATCTATATATATACTGAATAGATAAAGAAATATGTTTCTCATTTGGAGGGTGAGGGGCAAGTTCCGGGTGCCCAATGCACATCCGAGCACATATTATTGTACTTTGACCATTCATGCTGATAACTCAATACTTTGTTTGCAATAAACTGCCACACTGTGATAGATTACTCTTGTACTCATAAGTACAGCTGGAAAGCAATAAATCTAAATGACCAGGAGATTTGAAAAGTATTAGCTTTGGCTGCAAAAAATAAATAGTGTGTAATTGTCTGTTATAATATACAGTCATTCTAGAATAATAATGGTGAGTAATTTAAATTAATTTCATATTTTTCAACTTACCCTATATTGCTGATTTCACTACAGTTTGAGTTAGGGTAGAGAAAGTAACAGATAAATTGTGAAGTTTTGCTCAAAAATACTTGGTATTCATTCAGGAGGTTCTAGAGGTTGAAATGAAATAAGAAAATTATAAGATGAAAAGAAGTATTTTTTTTCTTATCATGAAGATCACCTTGCAATCAAAAAGAAATCTTTTGTAAAGATATTTTATGAAAAAAGTCTGAATTTTTGTGTACAACACTTGTAATGTTTACCAAAAACTTGTCATATTTCATTAAGATACACTTCCTATATCCAAAGTTATAGAATGTATAGTATCATGGTTATGTGGTGGTTACAAGGGTGATCAAAATGACTGAGCTTGTTTATGTAGAATTAATAAATACCTATTTAACTTTAACTCTCAAGCACATCTGCAGAAAACATCCTGTTCCAAGATTCTTGGAAAGATTCATAGATCAATTGAATCATCTGAACATTGACTTTGAAACAAGTGTATAATTTGTAACCTTCTCATTTTTTTATTCCCAGTCAAGTCTGCTAAAATCCTATTATCCTTAAATCTTGGACGTTTGATTTTTATGTTATAGATAGGTTGATTATAGTTGTTTCATTGTTTATTCTTCACCTAGTGTGCAGATAATTGTTTGATCCATAAGCACTCTAGATAAGTCTGTTGAAGACATTAGTTAGAACATTGAGAACATTTTAAAGAAATTATAAAAATCTTTTTTCTCCCAAATATTTTTTATGTTCATGCTTAAAACTACTTTGTAACTGATGATAGAACTTTTTTTTAATTCCTTTTATTTGTAGTTTTCAGTTACTCTTTCAGAAAATAAATGTCTTAAAAGATATGACAAGTAACCAGTTATGTTAGTAGTTTAAATGAAGGCACAGTCTCTCACTACACCTTTCTTTACTTTTCCCATTCTTATATTGCTTGAGCTTCAAGTGAATTG